TTTTTTAACTTGAGTTTTGAAATGTAAGGAACAGAGCAGCAGCAGCGAAGAAAGTGTCTTTGAGGCCTTGTGAACATCCACTACCCTCACTGTCTGCGGGAGGTCTCGGGGGCGCTTACTCCCCAGTAGGAGGGCGGGGTCAGATGTGCCCCGGTGCAGGGGGTCCACGGTCGTCTGGCCCTCTTCTGTCTCTTGCCCGTGCTCTACATAGAGGGCGGCCGGGGCTCTCAGTTTTCGAGGCAGTTGTTGACTCTTCAGTCAAGTGATTTTAATAGATGGTAAATTATTTAAATACCAGGTGGCTGAAAACCTCACTAACCTATAAAATAAATTGTGTTCTAGATGGCAAGATCATCATTCCAGGCAACTTTCTGTACTGTACCTTCTACGGACGCTCCTGCAGGTTGCAAGTGCTGGGCGTGAGAGGGGCCGATGGCCTGACGCTGCGGCAGCCTCAGAGCAGCTCTGATCCAGCTGTGCAGGGACTGGCCTCCGACGGGTCTGGCGCAGAGGCCAGCGCCCTGGACTTATCTTTGCAGCTCAGCCAGTTAGGGCTGGAGGATTCCCTGAGTCCAGCGTCAAGCAGTACTCCGTGCAAGCCCCCACATGACAGAAGCGTAAATGAAGCTGCTGATGCTGTGTCAGCTGCTCCACGAAGCGCTGGGGATGGCGGCGGGCTTGGGCTGGAAGAACCCACCCACCTTAAGTGCAGTTTTGAATCTGCCAGAGAAGGGAGTGAGCAGCCTGCCCGTGAAGAGAGAGTGTCGACATCTGCCTACCTGGGAGCAAAGTGTAACACCGATGCTTTCTATTTTCTTTCCTCAACAACAAGAATCAACTTTAAAAAGATGCATGCAAATTCAAAGGACCAAGACAGCCAGTTCAAAGTGACCTATGACATGATAGGAGGCTTGAGCAGTCAACTGAAAGCGATTAGGGAGATGATCGAGCTGCCCCTCAAACAGCCGGGTCTCTTCAAGAGCTACGGTACGGCCGCGTCCGAGAGCGCGCCCTCGCCTGCGGGCTCGCCCACCTCCCTGCTCGCGTGGGCTGCCCTGGTGTCCGGCTTTGTGTCTTCATTGCCGTCCTGGGCTCCGGAATGGGCCGGGCTGGGGCACAGGGGCCGCTTGTTACCTGTCTGCCTTGCCTGGTGGCGTTTCCGGAGTCGCGTTGGGGCTAGCTAGCGAGGCTGCTTTAGTGTTTACCCTTTTGGTGGGGGCGCGGGGAGAGGAAGGCTTGACTGTTCGCCTACCTTGACGATGCAGGTAAACCTGCGTCGTGCCCCTGGGGCTTGAGGGCCGCGCCACGCCACGCAGTCGTGTGACTCCAGCATTCTGTTGCAGGTGTCCCCCCGCCGAGGGGGGTGCTGCTGTACGGCCCGCCTGGCACGGGGAAGACCATGATCGCCAGGGCTCTTGCCAACGAGGTTGGCGCTGCTGTCTTTGTCATTAATGGCCCTGAGATTCTAAGCAAGTAGGTGCTTCTTCAGTGTGTTTTGAAACGGCTGCATGGGGTTCTGTCTCGGTGTTTATTTGTTGAAATATTTTTAATTTCGTATTTGCTATTTAACAGATCTAATAATTAAGTGTAGAAATCATTTTTGAGAGAGATTGTAAGTATTCTGGGAATATCTGAAGACTCAGATGAACTTACTAGGCAGAGCTTTAAAAACGAGCTGGTCCTGAAACATCTTCTGTTTGTTACAGATACTATGGGGAGACGGAAGCAAGGTTACGACAGATCTTTGCGGAAGCCACTCTGCGGTATTCATTATTTTGGATGTTTGCACCGGTAGTCAGGTCCATGTTAATCAGAGTAGAAGTACTGGCTAGCACTGTATAGGGTAAAGTGTGGGAATAATAGTGGTAGCACTGGCTAACGATTGTGTATCTAGTAAGATTCTAATTACTGTTGCGTTGAAGGCCCATAGCTGTCATTCAGGAATGTAGAAGGATTGAGACTGCTGCTTGCTGGGTCAGTGCTTGCATCGCAGCTGTAGGCGTGTGGTTTTGCAGAAGCTGGGTGTGCAATTCATTCCCTGTACTTTAGGGAGTCAGTAGAACTGGCTCCCCAGCACTGTATCATAGAAACCTTTATCCTTCAAACTTGGGGGATGCACACAGAACTGGGGTACAGGCCAGAGGTGCAGGGGCGGTGACAGAGCGGGGAGCAGCACAGGCAGATCGACGAAGCCCACTGCTGAGGGGAGCAGCGGGGGATCAGGAGAGGTCTGCCGCGCTCTGGGGTCACCTCCGGGGCGGGTGGGGACTGAACTCGTGCTGGAGTGGCTTTAGCTTCTCAGCGCTGTGCTTTACCCGCTGCGCCACCAGGGAGGGCCCGGGTTGTTTTTTGTTTGTTTTTTAATATACTTTACTTCAGCGGGACAAATGTTTCGCTCTTTAAAATGTAATTTCATTAGGTCTCAGTTGAGGCTGTCGTGTGATGCTGTGACAATAAGAGTGTAGCTCGGTCTGCTGTGGCCACATTGACGCCATTGCGACGTTTCACTTAACTTTAATTGCTGCTCTCTTAGCAAAGAAATGTCTAAGGGCTCCCCCTGGTAGAAATGTCTAAGGGCTCCCCCTGGTAGAAATGTCTAAGGGCTCCCCCTGGTAGAAATGTCTAAGGGCTCCCCCTGGTAGTGGGTGGCGTGAATCGCTCGGCGCCGTTCGGAAACCTGGGGAGCAGCGGTTGGGCTGTGCCGTGTGTGTGAGTGGCGATGTGCCTGGCAGCTGACGTTTCCTCTTGCCAGAAAATTTCAATCTTTGGTGGAGGAATCGATCTCCTTGGAAGTTTTTTTTGAAGAGCGTTTCTCTTTTATGTCTTTTGACTTCTCCCCTGCTCCAAGGGGCGGTGTCTGCCGCTTGGGCACTGTAACAGTGCTGGCCGCGGCCCCTGCACGAGCGCCTCCAGCCCAGCCCGGTGGGCACAGCCGTCACGAGCGGCTGGCGCGGGCTGCTAGCGCAGCACCTGTTGCCTTTGCAGGGTCAGCTAGCCCTGATTTCGTCAGTTTGAGACTCACGAAAAATCAAGAGATCTCAGTCTCAGTTTATAATTGAGGTGCTACATCAGCGCTGTACAAGTGAAATCTGTATTCGGGATTCACTCAGCTTACTTACTTTTAGGCACCCGTCAATCATCTTTATCGACGAGCTGGATGCACTTTGCCCTAAAAGAGAAGGGGCCCAGAATGAAGTGGAAAAAAGAGTAGTGGCCTCACTCTTAACACTGATGGACGGCATCGGCGCCGTAAGTCCTGGCGGGGTCGCTCCCAGCCGCACGCGTGTCTGACTTTGGGGGTTTTCTGAGATAAGGGGAAATGCTTGCTATATCTAGGGGAAAGTTCCACACAGTCGTTTTCTTCAGCAGATTTTCTCCTTGGCACTATAAGCTGCTGTGTGTTTTGGGCACAAAATAACTTAGAGTGACGGGTTTCTTCTGTAGTAACTGGCATTAATTTAAAACTGAGGTAGAAATCAGTAGAGAATCCTTAGTTAAGTTTTAATAGATTTTACTAAGAAATTTCACAGATAAGTTTCATCACTCAGGTAAAAGTTACTTTGGGATTTTTACATCTAAAAAGTGAAAGGAGAGAAAGTGAGGAAACCGGAGGTGTGTTTTTACCGTACTTCAGGGAACGAGCCCTTGTTGCCGGATCCTCTGGTGGAGCCTCGCAGGTGCGCTCCGGCTCCCACGGGGCTGTGCCCAGGGCACGGCTGGCCCATAGGCCTGCTGGCCGTGTGGGAGGCGTGGAGCTGGCCAGCCCCTGTGGCTGACGGTGTTGCCGCAAGAAGATACTTTGTAGGTGGCTCTGAAAGAACATACTTTAGACCAGCGTGTTGGATTCGAAAGGTCTGGAACTGATCTAGTCCCAGACCGTCCTTCGGCACGTTAGAGTGGGACGACGAGGACTTTGGTTTTTGTTGCCTGTCAGACGTTGAACACGTCGGGGGCCTTGAAGGGTTTGTCACGTGCAGTCATCGCTGACACGTTATCGTTTGAGCCCTCACACCAGAGAGGTGTGGCAGGTGCTGGGCAGGCCTGGGCGGTGCTAGGTGAGCTCACGAGGTTTGGTTCTCGGCTGACGCGGCTGGAGATCTCAGGCTTAGTGTGGAGGGATGGTGGCGTCACGGGGACTGACCCACAACGTTGGCGTCCAGAAGAGAAGGCCGGCTTGTCTGTTTCCAGAAAGGGTGCTGTGCTTCAGCCGGCCGCCGCCTGCTGGGGGGGGGGGGGGCGCGTGGGGGGTTCCAGCCTCAGCGGCAGGCTGGCAGCTGAGCGACACTGCCAGAGGCTGTGGGAACAGCTGCTGCTCCGTGCTGGGCAGGGGGCAGGTGGCTGATGCTTCAGTCTTCAGGTCTTTACAGGCGTGAGTGTGCGCGCGTGTGTGCGTGCGTCCTGCAGTTGCAAGAGGCCGGCGTGGTCTGCACACCAGCATGGTGGGTTAGGGTTGACTTTGCTTCAGTCGCCTTCCGTTTCTGTTGTCTCTGAGGGTTGTCCACACAGTGTTGGGTCATTTCCATCAGTCCCTGATCTCTGTACATTGGTCCAAATTTCATTCTTTCAGTAATAGCCCACAGGTAAGGGCAACGGTCCTCAGATGCTGGCTGTGTCGTATCAAGAAGTTACAAATTTATCCCAATCTAAATAAACCAACCATTGTATGCGTATTTTGTAGACAGCTGACCAGGAAAGCCTTGCTGTTTGAATGACGCATAGGTTAACTACGGGGTAAAGACAACATAAGAGTAGCGTGGAGCCAGGGACGAGGACGCGTGTTATTTGTGAGGCTGGTGTCCGTCGCACACGGGAGCTGGGACTGAACAGTCACTGGACGCGAGGACTAAATGTGGCCGGACGGGCCTCAGCTGCCTGGGCACTCTGCGCCATCCTGGCTTAACGCCAGTTCTTAGGTCAGCAGCGCTGTTTGTAGAGAAATAACGTGGTTTTCCTTTGTGCTGCCAGGAAGGAAGTGAAGGACGTGTGCTGGTTCTCGGGGCCACGAATCGCCCCCACGCCTTGGACGCCGCCCTCCGGAGACCGGGACGCTTCGATAAGGAGATTGAGATCGGCGTCCCAGACGCGCAGGGCCGGCTGGACATCCTGCAGAAGCTGCTACGGCGCGTGCCGCACGTGCTCCGCAGGGCCGACCTGCTGCAGCTGGCCCGCGGTGCGCACGGCTACGTCGGGGCCGACCTGGGGGCCTGGTGCCACGAAGCAGGTGCGGGCTTGGGGCTGTGTCGGCAGTCACAGGTGTTTTTCCTGTCATGGAACGTGTAGTCGGTGAAAATAATCTACGTGGTTTAGAAACCTATAAGTAAGAGCAGTCCCGGCATCCTCCCTCCTCCAGACACCCTCCAAACAGTGCCCCTTCAGGCTCTCCCTGGGCTGCACCGGGTCACCAGCTGCACGGGGCAGCAGGTTAGGGCAGGGGCTGGCGGGAGGTGCCTGCTCGGCCGCCGCGGCCGGGTCCTTGCCTGAGCGTGCGGAGGCTCTGGCCCCGTCGCCTCCCACTTTGAGGACACAAGCAGGGCGGGACCGTCGCCGCTTCAGAAGCTCTGGCACCTGTGACGGGCTTGATTTTTCGGAGCAGCGTCGGCTGTGGGCAGCGTGTTTGCTGTTGGTAGTTTTTGTAGACAGAGAGCGATCTGGCAAGTCGGCATCCACTGAAACACCTGCTGGCTTTCTTCTTCCCTGGGGCTGCTGCTCCGTGTTCTGGGCCACCGGGCCGCCGCCCGCCTTCCTCGATGGAGTCGGTGTTCAGCGCGGCCCTCGGGGCTTGGGTCTGTGCCCACCCTCCTGGCCTCGGTGTTGGCCACAGTTCAGGTTAGGGAAGCAGGTAAAGTGGCGAGGAGCAGCTGCCCTGCTGTGAAAAGCTGCTGAATCATAACAGCTAAAAGGCGCTTAAAAGTGGCGGTGCTGGCCGCTAGCCAGCGCGCAGCAGGGTTCCCTCCGGAGCTGGGGCTGCAGGCCGAGCTCTGGGCGCACAGCGCGCCTGGGGAGAGCGGGCGCCGCGCCGGTCCTGCCTCGGCGCCACGCGAGTGGCGGCGCAAAGCTCAGCATCGGGCTGTTGCGGGTCTGAGCTGGAGGCGGTTGGCTGCTGGGCCCCTGGTGTATTGATCTCTCTGCTGTTGGCCGGCTCCCTGGAAGCCGTCTTCTCTCCGGTGTGGCGTGTCCCGAGGTGGCCTTTCCAGAGTGGGGTCCTCCAGGCTCGCCCTTCGTCCTCCAGCCCCCCAGCCTCCCTTCTGGCCTCCCACTCCCAGGCGGAGCTGCTGCCTCCTGCCTTCTCGTCGCTGAGTGCTTGGACGGCTCCATGCCCGCACTCTTCCCCCTCCCGCGCCCTCCCCGCAGCGTGGGGCCGGGAGTGCTTTGACACGCGTGAGGCGGGTCGCGCTAGGTCTGAGTGCCTTTCCCTTCGTAGGTCTCTGCGCCTTGCGGAGAGTCCTGAGGAAACAGCCAAACCTGCCTGACAGCAAGATAGCAGGGGCCGTGAGGGTCACCCTGGACGACTTCCTGCGGGGCATGAGCGAGATCAGGCCCAGCGCCATGAGGGAAGTGGCCATCGATGTCCCAAACGTAAGTCGCCTCTGCCGCAGCCAGCCACACCGTGAGCTTAAACTCTGCCAGGAGCCGGAGGCCCGGGAAACTCCCTTGTCTGGATCTTAAAGATTTGTTTTCCGTGATGTTTAACGGAGGAGCTGGAGTTCAGCGCCGCGGTGGGAAGGCCGTGGGGACAGCCCGGTTCCCTTCATCGGTGGCGCCAGCCGTTGCCCCTCCGACTCAGGGAGCCGGGTGGGGCCGTCGGGCCGGAGGCACTGGACACTGACCTTGTGTAATTACGCCCACGAAGGTGCCACGCCTGGGTGGCAGCTGCACACGCAGATCCCGGCTGGTGTGGCGGCCTGGCCGGGGCGTGCTCAGGCCTTTCTGTCCAGGGAGCAGTTAAACCTTAGGTCGGGGTTATGGCGGTACTGTAGCATTTCCTGGTTCCGTGGCTCCACACCAAAACCCCCCCGACATACTCTCACCCCACCCCAAAATCAAGTAGGTCCACATCCTACACCGGCTACCCTGTGCTGGATCTTTAGGGCATTTGTTCTCTCCTGGTTTGGGGTACCTGTGCAGCCGTCCTGGGCCTGGGGCTCTGGCCCGGGCTGTCAGAGCTGCGTGGTGCTGCTCACGCCCCGGCTTCTGAAGCGCCGTCCGCGATCCCAGTCTGTGTGTCTTCTCCCACGAGAGCTGGTGCTGTTTCTGGGGTCTATTCTGTCACTTCATCGAGAAATCACTGACCTTGCATTCTCCCTCTCTCCACCTGGAAAGACCAACGCACCAAGGCAGGGGCCGCTGTGCTCCACAGGCCAGCGGGCAGCTTGGGGTGACGTGCCTCCCGGCCTGCGTCTGTGGCTGGGCGGTGGCTGGAGCCACCCGGGTCGCCGTCCCGCTCGCCAGCAGGGAGGCCTTGGGGATTTTAGGGTCTCGGTCAGAAGTGCCTCGCATTTGACACGTTTCTAACGTGCTTTGGGGTGTTCTTTTTTTTTTTTTAACAGATTCCGACTCTTGGATGCGTTTCTGTTCCTCTTGCTCTTCGTTCATGCTTGCTTTTCCCTCTGTCCTGGCAAACCTCTGTTCAGAAAAGGTGGTGTTCTGCAGGTGTCCTGGTCAGACATAGGAGGGCTGGAGAGCATCAAGCTGAAGCTGAAGCAGGCTGTGGAATGGCCCCTGCAGCACCCGGAGTCCTTCGTGCGCATGGGCATCCAGCCGCCCAGGGGCGTCCTCCTGTACGGCCCCCCCGGCTGCTCCAAGACCATGATCGCGAAGGCCCTGGCCCACGAGAGCAGGCTCAACTTCCTGGCCGTCAAGGTGGGTGTCGCCGTTGTCTGGCTGCGCTCCACCTCGCCGCCTCGTTTTCTGTCTCCCTGCCCTGTGGGGGCGGAGAGTGTGGGTGTGGCTGCGGGGTGTTTTGGAGGAACAAGCCCCGCCCCCCATGCCGAGCTGTGTCCCGCCCGGGGTGGGCTGCCCCCGTCCAGCGTGGGCGCTGCGTGCTGACGCGCTGTCCTCCCTGTTGTCTCTCTGGGCCCTTCACTTCCGCAGCCCCCGCTGTCGCACGTGAGTGTGCGTCTCTGCGAGCGTGGCCGTCGCGCTAGGTCCCCTCGCCTGCCCGGACCTTGGCACTCGCGGGCCTTGCTGGGCATATGATGGCCAAGAGCGCCAGCCAGTGCCAGGCACGGCCCGACAGCTCCCGGGGCTCCCCAGGCTCGTGCTGCCTCCGCCTGTCGTGGAGCCCGTGGGTGCCGCGCGCCCCCTGCCCCCGCGGAGCTGCCCCGGCTTCCTGGCACGGCCCTGCAGCCCTCCCGCTGGCTGGCCTGTGCCTGGCTCCAGCGTGCGGCGCGGCGAGTGCCGCGCTGCTGCGTCCCGGGCCAGGCCTCTGGGCTGCTGTCCCTCGCGTCTGGCGCCGGCTGCCGCCTCTGTGTGGCGCTGTCTCTCCCGAGGTGCTGATCTGGGGGTGTGCAGATGCTGCTGTTCCCTTGTGCTTGTTCCGGCAAGGCCCAGACCATCTGGCCAGGCTTCGTGCGCAGCTTCGGTTTGCCGGTCGCTCTGTTGTCGAGTCTGTTGGCAGTTTTCTTCCGTAGCGCCAACAGCTGCATGTTTTTCATCTCAGAGGTGGTGCTGGCCAGTGTCCACCTGCGATCCTAGGTATTTGAGAAAGAAAAAACGCAAAAGCTCAGAACTGCTAAGCGACTGGTGGTGCGTGTCCACGGCCGCGGTAGGCACCGTCTCCCTGGGTGACCAGGCCTGGCCAGGGCCTGCTGAGGGCGTCAGCCGGGAAAGCCAGCCCCCCGTGCCCCCCGCGCCCCGGCGGCTGCCTTCTCAGCTGCGTGGCCTGGAAGGGGAAGGGTCCCTGGCCAGGGTGGCGTGCTGGCGGCAGGCGTCTGCAGGGCTCGGGCAAAGGCGGTGAGCAGACCCTGGGTGCGGGGTGGGGCCCCGGCCCGGGCCGGCCAGCTTGCTGCGGGTGTCGGGGAGGCTGCGGAGCACCCCTGCCTGCAAGTCTGGCCGGGACGGGGCGTCTGTCCTGGGAGCGCCCCTGCTGCGGCCATGTGTTGGGTGCTGACTCCGCCCGTCTCCTTGGGTCTGGAATGGGCCCGCTCGTCACCGCGCCTGCCTGGCCTGCCACCGCGGGCCCCGGGCCCCTCACAGCTGGCCGGCACTCGGGGCGCAGGTGCAGCCTGGTGGGGAGAGTGGGCGCCGGCTTTTCTCTTCTGTGTCCACTCTTGTCTGTTTCCTTCTTATCACAAGATGACACGCGGCTGCGTTTATCGGGCACTGACTGTTGTTTCGTTTCCTGCAGGGACCCGAATTAATGAACAAGTACGTTGGTGAGTCCGAGCGAGCCGTCAGAGAGGTAAGCCCGGTGCCGGCGCCGAGAGCCTTGGCCAGGCAGCCTCCGCGCTTCTGTTCTGTAGGGTTGCAGGCTTAGCGTCTGTTTCCGAGTCTGGATCTGTCTCATTTAGAAAGACGACGTTGATCACTTGTGATTTTTTTTTTTTTTTTTGAAACCTGCTACTAGCCTTTAATTTTGGTAAATAATCATTCCCATCGCCATCATTTGCAAGGAAAGGGGAGAGGGACCACGTGCTTGGTGCGCCCACTTGGCACAGCGAAGTGCTGGGCAGGAGGCTCACCAGGTCCAGTCGCGCTTCAGGCCGGGCCTGCTGCCCTCCAGGGGCCGGTGGCCTCGGCAGGCAGCCCCACAGTGGCGGGACACGGGTGCATGGCCAGGTGGCCCAGCCCCGCCCGGTCATCCACCAGCGCTGGCGGGATGGGGATGCTCCTTTGTCCTCTTAATAAAAAAGTACGACGCTTCTTGCCCCCTCTCTTCTGCCTCTGTGAATGTGGGTAGCAACCGCTGGGCACTGGTGGGACGCTGGCCCGGGGCCTGGGGGGCAGAGGCGGTGGTCGTGTGGGGTCTCTGTCTTGCCGACTTGCGCCTGGCAGGCTGGCCAGGCCAGGCCGACTGGGCAGGCTGGGTGGCTGCCAGGCCTGCCTGCTGGCCTCCCGCGCACTCTGGGCCTTACCTTGACCATTTCTTCCCTAAACGGCTCCTGGCGCTGTGGGTGTCTTCGTGCCTGTCCTCGGGGACAGCGTGTGCTCGCACAGGCTGCTCATGCCCACCGTCCTCAGTGCTCACGCTGTCCCGGGCCTCGTGCTAAGTCCTGGGCTTTGTTTTCATTGGGTTCTTACAAGTGTCCGTCACCTGCCGAAGGTCACACGGTTCCCCGTAGGGGACTGCTGTGCCCTGACCGGCCCGCCGCAGCCTTGCCTGCAGTCAGCTGCTCGCTCCGCCCGCGCGTGTGCCATGTGCCAGTGTGGGTGCGGGGCTGGTGGCTGGGTGGCTGGAGATAGTGCCCCCTACGAAATACAGTTTTAAACTGGAACCGCTGCGGCATTTCCGGGGCCGCTGGTCTTCGGCTGACGTGTCGTTCTTTCTCTAGCTCTTCCGCAAAGCGAGAGCAGTGGCTCCTTCCATCATCTTCTTTGATGAGCTCGATGCCTTAGCAGTGGAGAGGGGCAGGTAAGGGCGGCCCCGGGCAGCCTTCCAGTCTCAGAAACGGCGCGGGGCAGCGTCTGCACACGCCTTTTGGCAGGAATGCGTTCGCCCTGACGGAGTCCAGGGCCTTGAAGAGTCAAGTCCGTTTCTCTCCCTCACACCCGTTCGGTTCTGTGTGGAATTGCTTGGTGGCACTTCAGTTACAGCCTTGTTTTGGAAAACACTGATCACCCTTTCAGCCGTAACATTTAGAGACCCAGGACACTCCCTGTCGCGGTCAGAGTTGTGCACGTGTCACTTACACTGTGAACACAGCTCAGGTGACCGGGGGATGGCCAGAGCAGAATTCAGCTGTCAGGAAGGTTCTGGCACTCAGATTTCCCCTGGAGTAAATTTACTAATACGGCAGAAAGAGGATGGAATTACTGTCGTTTAAAGTCAGAGTGGGTGTTTCCTTCCTGAGCCCCAGGTGACGAGGGCGAGCGCAGTCTTGTCCGCGGAGCGTGCGGCGCTGTTGTCCACAGCCGCCGGGCCCCTCGGTGCGGTGCTGGTCTTCAAGCAGGCACGGGGCGCTGGGTGCAGAAGCCTCCCCGAGGCCTCCTGCCGGCGGGAGGCGCTGCCCCGTGCGAAGGGGCTGTCCCTCGGGAGCTGTCGGGTGGCCTGCCCGTCCCCGCCCTGCCCAGGCCTTGTCTGAGGCGCCCGTGGGTGGAGTCCCCGCGTGGGCGAGTGGGCTGTTGGGAGCCGGCGCGCCAGCGCTGCCCTCCCCGCCTGTCCCTCGGCGCAGCACCGCGGCCGGTGCCCTCTGGGCCGTCTCTCCTCGAGGCAGTGTCCCTCTGTTTGTGGAAACCGCTGGGCAGATCACTCAGGCCGCGGTGCTGTTCCGGCGCAGAATCACAGGCTGAAACCCGCTCAGTGTCCGCGGCGCCTAACGCCAGCGTGGCGCCTCCAGGGAGCGCTGCCCGGCGAGCTGCGGCTTCGGGTTCAGCAGAACTCGGGCAGCCACGAGAGGCCGTCAGGCGAGTGGGTGGGTGAGAAGAGCGCGTGCCGCGCACGGCCACGCGCCGTGACCAGCAGTGCTCTAGAGGGCAGGCTTCGGCGTGGCAGGGCGCACTGCGTGCCCCTTGTCCGGGGCCAGGGCAGGTGCGGGGCCGACACCTACCTGCCGTCCTGGCTCGGTGGAGCCGCGGGGCCTTGCCACGGCGCGTCGCGGCTCTGCTCGTCCGTCAGACCCCTTGATGCCCCTGCTCAGTTTGACTTTCCCGGGTCAGAGGCAGTGAGTGAAATCGTAAACATGGTGCGAATGCCCGAGGTGGGCTGACAGTTTCACAAATCAGTTCTTCAGGTGCTGGCCACGTGGCCGACCGGGTCTTGGCGCAGCTCTTGACAGAGATGGACGGCATCGAGCAGTTGAAGGGGGTGATGGTTCTGGCTGCCACCAACCGCCCGGACCGCGTAGACAAGGTGAGAGGCGGCTGCGCCCGGCCCGACGGGCCCCTCGGTTTGCTCGGGGGCTTGGGTCCGAGTAGGGGAGACGGGGCAGAAGAGGCTTCGGGGGGGTTTAGTGCGCTGCCCTCGGGGTCCCTGCCAGGCTGCGTCGGGCCTGAGGGTGTGTTCTTAGGTAGCTGAAGCCCTGAGGTTCTTTTTCTGGATCACCAGATTTTTCTTTTGAGAAATTGGAAATACACTGGTAGGGAGGGAGGTTCTGGCTGTTCAGCACGGCTAAACCTGTTCCTCAGCAACTTTCTAGCACCTGCTCTTGTACGTCCCGTGATCTCGGAATGGCCTGTGTGTAAGGAGCGCGTGACGTGTGAATCTGACACGCTCCCGCACGCCCGACAGACGCCGCCGTGTGCTGCAGTCACGTGCGTGGCCTTGGGCGCTGGGGACGGGGCACGAAGCCACAGGCCATGAGCAAAGGTGAGGCACAGAGTGACCACTGGCGCTGCCTGTGAGGTCCTGCGTGAACTCGGTGGCTGGCGCTGTCTGAACGGAAACTCGTGCCGGCCGTCTGGGGCCTGGAGCCGCCAGAGCTCTCAGGCTGCTTGAGCCGGGCCAGCTGGGGGCGCCGTGGGCAGGCGCGTCTGCCCTTGGGGGTTTCCCTCTCTGCTGCTGTTGCAAAAAAAAAAAAAACAAGCCTGTGGCTTTTGAATTAGAGCGCGCTTGCGGCCTCCCCTCCAGGCCACCCCAAAGGTCACAGAGCATTGAGGCCACAATTGAGACAGGGCATCTGGGGAAGCCGGATGCATTGATGGAGGTGTGGCCGAGTGTCCAGTGTGGAACGTGGGGTGAGCCGGGCATGAGCGGGTCTGTCTCCCGCTGAGGAGGCCGAGGGGACCTGTGTGTCCACGCAACTTCCTGGGAGAGTCTAGAGGTTGGTTGTGCCTGGGGCTGGGGGTGGCCTCTGGGTCACCATCCTCCGTGGCCTCCGAGTGCCCGCTGGCGCCGCCTCCCCAAGTACTTGCGGACAGAGTTTGTCCGCGACCTAGGGCATGGGACGGCCGCAGCCCAGGCAGCGCCTGGCCCTGGACCCCGTTCTCCAGGCGAGACTGAAGCCTGCGCCGCCGTGTCTCCTCCGGGGCTGAGACAGGGCTCACTGCAGGCCGACGGGTGGGCCCGGCCGGCGTGCAGCTGGCCGCTCTCCGTGGCGTCTGGCGGGAGGGGCCCGAGCCCCGTGAGAGCGCTGCGTCCTGGGCGCCGGTGCCCTCGGGCCAGTGAGAGCCGCCCTCCTCCGGTCGGGTAGCCGGCGTCGAGACTGGACTCGGCGTCCAGTGTGGGGCTTCCCGCAGTCCAGTGCGTAACGGAGTCGCGGGTTGTTTGGGACACAGGTCACGTTCTGTAGAGTAGGCTGGAGTTTTACTTCAGTGTGAGTCACTAACATCTCTCAAGATTTATTTCTGCATGCAGAGGTGTGGGGGTCAGAGGAGTCACCGGAGACAGAGCGGGGAGCAGAACAGGCAGGTGGAGATGCGCACTGCTGAGGGCAGCGGCGGCGGTCAGGAGAGGGCTGCCGCGCCCTGTGGTCACCTCCGGGGCGGGCGGGGATCGAACTCGGCTGCTGTGGCGTTAGCTCCTCAGCGCTGGGCTCTGAACCGCTCGCGCCAGGGAGGGCCGAGTCACCGAGTCTTTACAGTCCGTCGTCAGGTTTGACCTTGGCTGGCGGAGAGCCGGTTTCCTGCGCGGGGCCGGGCTCCAGGGTGGTGACGTGTCTGTCTCGACGCGTCCGCCCCCCGGCGGTGAGCGGTCTGCACGCTGTGCTTGGCGCGCCGGACAGGCCGTGCCGGGTGA